TAATTAACATTATGGTACACACATACACACACGTACACACACACACACGTACAACTAAAAGTAAGTTACAAGAATTGATAAATGGCGCACAGCAAAAGGCAAACAGAAGGAGGCCAAGCTTCGGATGCTGTGAGCAGCTTTTATGTGTGTGTGCGAGTGTGTGTATGTTTGCGTGTGTTTGGTTGACTTGGGTGCTACGTAGGCCTGCTTCCTGTTGTGTTTTTACAAAACTTCTTGACACCGCTGACGCTGGCGAAATGGAAAACGTTAGATGAAGTGCCATAAAATATTCAATATCAAGTACGGCACAGCATCTCGCATAGTTGCAGGCAGGCAGGCAGGCCCCCAGCCCCCCTGTCGGAAGCCGCACTGTGATTGAATGAGCGTGGGCAAGTGGGAGCGTGGTGTGCTGCTGGAGGAGCTGGGGTACTTGGAAGGTTGGGGGGGGGCGACAGGTGTCAAGAGTACGCAACAATGCAGTCATAAAGGCGCACCGGCCTAAGCGGGCGAGAGTTCTGAGAGCTGTGTGTACTCATGTACAGTGAGGGCTCTGATAAAGCGAACAATGAGGCGATAAAGAGCACTAAGAAGTTGCTCGAGCTCTAAAGTAATAGATGTGTTTACATTGAAGAGGGTGCTTTAAAAAATTATCACAGAAAATGAGATTGGAATGCGTTCATTGGCTTCACTGTTTCGTATCTTATCTAATATGCGCATACATATATAGGATTCGACTATTCGAGCTGCTCCTGAGGGATGCTTTAGTGCCTGAGTGGCTAGATTCCATTTTAGTATCTGATTTAATATTCCTGGGTTAAGTAGTGAAATGATGGAGATAATTGAGGCAAACGTTGGAGGCCTTTCGATAAATTTATATGTGCAACTCCTGCTGTGCATTTCTGAACAGCAAATGGAGCTCGGGATATCCTCGCATAATCTGGATAAGATTATTTTATTTTCTATACAGCTTAGTATGTATCGCTTGTCTTTGAATATCCCCTCCCGTAATTTGATTTGAGGTTCTACTGTAACCTATATGAAGTTATTTAATTATATATGTACTTATATGCATATAAAAAATTTATGAACAAGTAGCTGCATCTATTTTCATTATATACCAGTTGTGCCTTAGCGTATCTCCTCATATCAACTTAATCATATTTAAGTACTCTAGCAACTTCTGAAGTTTATGGCTCACATACTCGTATACTTCCCGCATATTGCGGCTGTTCGTTAATTGAGGTTTTACTGTCTCTTTGCTGCGTGCGGCAGTCGATAAGCAAATGGCCAAGCAGGGCACAGAAATCAGTTAGCGGAACCCCTGCGGTACGCCAACGAACCTCCTCTCTCATTCCCCCCTATTTTGCTGCTCTCTGTCTGCCATGCTCTTTCTCTCTCGCTCTCACTAACACTCTCTCTCTCTCGAGCTCACCTGCACTGCTTCGTTTGTTGTTTTGCTTAGCACACAAATCGTCAAAATATATTTTTTATTACAACAATAAGAGCAGCTCAGGCAGCTATGTGGCGGCGCTTATTTTAATTTTTTGTTTTTTTCATTTTGTTTTTTTGGGCGTGACCTCAGGGCATTTCGTTAGGAAGCTGGCCTGCGCCTTGAGCTATGCTACGCTTTTTGGCCTTTCGTTGGCTGCCCCGACGCGTCGGTTGCGCGCTAGTTAAGTGCAGCACATCAAGCGCTAATTTATGGGCAAAAAATACAAGAAACAAAAAAGAAGCAGAAATCACAAAAAAAAAAAAAAAAAAAAAAAAACAGGGGAAAAAAAATACAAAAAAAAAAATAGATTAAATGAAAACAAAATAAAT